GTTCTGTACAGGAAAAAAGGTTCCGTGAGAAAATACGAAACCTTAAGGGTTCTGTACAAAACCATTATGGTTTCGTACCAAAGGCTCATGGTTTTGTACAGAACCCTTAAGGTTTCGTATTTTCTCACGGAACCTTTTTTCCTGTACAGAACCTAAAAAAAGGTTCTGTAGAATTTTTTATCCTTTTTTGAGACTTTGGACACATTTAGAGACTTTTAGAAATCTACAGAACCTTTTCGAAGGGTTCTGCAAAACTCCTTTCTTTTTTTCAGAGTAGTTTTCTCTTTCCTATTTTGTTTCGAGTCTACAATATAAACTGAAACATTCCTTATTTTGTTTGTCTTTAAAAATTTAAAATTTTTCACGAGTTAAAAAAAGATCTCTATAACAATATTTGTAAATGTATATGACGGTGGAAGTTTAAAGTAACTTTTCTTCTTAGTCAATATTAAATTATACTTGTCTTTTTTTGTGGAGTATGGTGCATCAAGTAGGATCTAAAATAGAGACGAGCATTTATTGGTAGAAATATTATCAAATAATTGTATTGCTCGGTCTTTCTTCGTAGAGGGCACATAGATTGATTTCTTCATTTTATTTCGTTGTGTTATTGAGAACTTTTTACAATTTATCAATAATTTTCTCTGTGTCAAAACGAAATCGACGTTTTCATATCTATCTAGTAAATTTTTTATTTTAGATTTATCAATAGAATGTCCAGTACGTCTTTATCTTTAGGAAAGTGTCCATTATGTTTAAAATCTCTTCGTGTAAAAAATTTTAAACGTCATTGTGACCTTTGCCATGATAGTATAAATACAAAAGAAAAATATGAAAAATTATTATTAAAAATGAAACAAACAATTAACAGTCAACATCAAGATATACCAACATCAGGTAGTATAGTTGAAGTAACATAATAATCAGTTAAATGTTATATTTTTAGAATCCACAGCATCAAATGAATCATCAACAATTACCTCGAATAACACATCAGCAACAATATCAAATGAAACAAATACTGAATCACCAGCTGTTAATGGATATGTGTCATCACCTGATGTTATATTAAAACCTAATGATGATTCACAGACATCAGCATCAAGTAGTACAATTCAATTAATATAATAATAAGTTAAATATTATATTTGCAGAAGCTACATCATCAAACGAAACAAATCTTGAACCAGCAGCTGTTAATGGATATGTATCATCACCTGATGTTGCATTAACACCTGACGATAATAAATCTTTAGATAATGTTCAATTTCAACATTTTGTTGAAATAAAAAATGATATTTGTGGTGATATTAAATATATTTTAAAACAAACAGAATTCGCATCGAAACTTGTTGCATTAGCATTTGATGAAACAGTTAGTGTAAAAAATTTTTTAGTAGAAATAACATCAGCATTTATGAAAATAAAAGAATCTATAAATGATTTATTAATGTTATGTAACGAAACACTTGAAAACATCCCGTCTGCACCAACAACTATTGAAAAAATACAATCAACTGAAAAACTTATTTCTCGTGATCCATCTATCATAAAAGTTTTTGATGAAGACGAACTGCGATATTTAGTCAATCAAGGTCCATATCAGCCTCTATTACCACGATATCCAGTTAATACACAACTAAAAAAGAAAAACACTACTTGCCATTTTGTTCCTCAGTGGTACAAAGAATTTCCTTTAATGGAATATAGTCCTATAACTGATTCAATTTACTGTTTTTGTTGTCGCTTGTTTGGACGTGGTCCTGGTAGTGCACAGTCAGAAAATACTTGGGTTTCAACTGGCATGAAAATGTGGAATAAAGTGAAAGGTTTTCAAATATAACTTATTAAGCAACTGATGACCTAACTTTGAAATTTATTTTTTATTATAGGCAGTCAAGGTACTGGAAAAAAAGGGAGAATATATATTCATATAGCCAGTGAAACGCACAAGTATTCTTTAAAACGTTATATGACTTTTAGAGAACGTAAAAATAATGTTGATTATATGTTAAATAAAGATTTACAACAACAAGAACAACAAAAGATTGAACAAAAAAAAACTAATGAACAAATAATAAAAATTCTAATTGATTGTTCTCGATTTTTAGCAAGACAAGGATTAGGGTTTCGTGGTCATACAGATGAAGATAGTAATTTTTATCAGTTAGTTTATTTACTATCTCGATATAATCCAATACTGGACGATTGGATAAATAATAATAATATTCGTCCATTTAAAGTAAACAATGTCTCTACTAATTTTTGTTTTTTTTTGTAAAATGACAAATATCTTTTCTGTTAGATCACTTATATGAGTAAAGATTCTCAAAATGAATTCATACAACTCTTGGGTGAACTTGTACAAGAAAAAAATTTAACTGAAATACGTCAAGCAGCGTATTATTCAATTATGGCTGATTCTTCTATAGATTCAAATCGAAAAGACATGTTGTCTGTGTACATTCGATTTGTAAATGAACAAGGTGAGCCTGAAGAACGCTTTGTGTCAATCAAAGAAGTTCATTCAAAAACTGGTAAGATATTCAGCAAATTAAAATCAATAGAATTTGTAAATGAGCTGACAAAGTCAAACTGACTTTTAATAAATTCGTAATGAAGAATTCTTAATGTTGAAGCCATCCAATATTTTAACATTTAGGTTATGAATATGACATTTTAAAACTAAAAATAGTTTACAGTACAGATTTTGCATCAATCGATTTTCTAGATCTTTCATCAGAACGTTATTTTTTAGGTGATGGAATAGCAAATCATTTATTAGAAGTCTTAAATGAACTTGAACTTGATACAAAAAAATTAATTGCACAATCATATGATTGTGCTAACAATATGTGTGGACAAATGAACGGTGTTCAAGCGAAGATTTCTGAAAAATTACATCGTGACGTCAAGTACATTCCTTGTTCTTCACATCGATCCAATACGGTCGTCAAACATTCATCTGAAGCTAATTTAGATATATATTCTTTTTTTGGAACATTACAGACTGTATATGTTTTTTTTACTTCTAGTACGAAAAGGTAGAAATTTTTAAAAACGCATCATTTGTTTGTATATTAGTGTTTATTTATTTTTTGTTGAGAATGAGTGTGCTGAATGAAAAATATTCAACCAATTTGTTTTCATTAACACCAAAAACAATAGCAACAACAAGATGGAATGCTAAATATCAGTCAATGAGAGCTATGTACGAGTCATTTGATGAAGTTATACAAGCACTTAATACAACAGCTAATGATCAGATTAATTTCGACCTAGAATCACGTCAACAAGCTAAAGCCATTAGTTTTAATATTATAACTTTACATTTTATTATATATTTGGTTTTCATGAAAAACTTAATGGCTATGACTAACAGTCTTTCAGTTCATTTTCAATCTGAAAAAATAGATTTATTAGCAGCTGGTGAGCTATTGTCTGAAACAATACAATTATTAGAACTTGAACGATCAAATGAAGTTAATTTAAACAATATAATTACTGTAAGTGATGAATTAGCAAAAAAATATGGAATTGATCCAGATGAAGAATTTCATCGTAAACATCGAAAAAGAAGGCCACCAAAGAAACTTGATGATAATCCGCAAACAACTTACAATTTTTCACGGTAATTAGATTTAATTAAGAAAATTCTTTTTTAATCAGAGTAGCTTTTCTGAACATGTGTGGTACTAGAAGTTGATTTATTTACTTTTATTATTAGTACTCAATACTATCGGACAGTGTTCCGACAAGTAATGGATCAACTTATTATTGAATATAAAGAATTTTCAAAATCAATTGATTCAAATGTTCAGTCTTTATCGAAATTATCACCTAAATATATCAACAGCTTTACCAAAATTGATGCTGAAAATATAATTAAAATGATAGGAATTGATGATTCGGATTTGCTTTATAATGAAGTACAATTATTTAAAGAGAAAATTTCTGAATTTGAAACAACTACTGTTGCAAGTAAATTTGTTCATGAACGAAAAACATTACTTCCTTCATTAACAAAAGCATATCAATATCTTTTAACATTACCAATCAGTGTAGCAAGTGTAGAACGTTCATTCAGTAAAATGAAGATTGTGAAAAATCGATTGCGTACCACCATGTCCGATGAACGTTTATATTCATTACTATTGTGTACATTAGAATCATCAATTTTAGATCAAGTAAATAATACAGAAGTAGTTGAAAGATGGACAAAAAATAAGACTGGTCGTCGAATTTAGTTTTTTTTGTTTTTTTATTTGTCAAAATACTTTTAATTAAATATATGAACGAACATGTAATATAATCTGGTTTTTTAAATTACTTATATATTAATATTTTGATTGCTTGAATTCTAAGCGATTTTTAAGACTTTCTCCCATTTTGAAAAAATACACCCCTCCTGCTTTTAGTTCTTCGCGCCGCCACTGAGCCTCAGCCAGAGCTCTCAGAGTCTCCGTGCGCAAGTTTCGCCGTGCGCATCTTTCGGGATCCCAGACTTATTGCTTCGGAGTTTTTGTCTCACTATT